CCCTAAAAACAGCACGCCAGGGAAAAGAACATATGCTGCATGATTGCCCTCCACAGAGGTACCTGGAAACATTATATGCACAGACAGAGAACATAGTATTTGCCAGGAGCTAGGAAGAAAAGAGGGAGTTATTGTTCAATGAGTAGAGAGGCCCTGTGGGGCACAGTGAAAACTCCTGAGAATGAAAAGGGGTGACGGCTGCTAGGTCAAAGTACTTGGTGTCAGAGAAGCACTTAATGCAGCTAAAATAAACTAACAAATTGAACACAGTTTTCAAAAGATGAAGTACAAATGATCAATAAACATGAAATAACATTCTATTAGAAAAATGCAAATTAGAACTATATTGAGTTTCCATCTCACGCTAGTCAGAATGGACAGTTAGAAAACAACAAATAATAGCAAATGCTGGAGACAATGCAGGGCAAAGGGAACCCTTATACACTCCTGATGGAAATACAAATTAATCCATCCATATGGAAATCAGCATGGATTTCCTCAAATAACTAAAATTGGATGTATCATAGGACCCAGCTGTATTGCCTTGGGCATTTATCCAAATGACTTTAAGTCAGTATATCACAGAGATACTTACACAACTGTTTACTGCAATGCCATTCATCATACCTAAGTTATAGAGCCAACCCGGGAATGGACAAAGTTAACAAAGGAATGGATAAAGAAATGTGGTGCGTACACTCACTCACACTCGCTTGCACACACACACACACACACACACACACACAGAAATTTTATTCAGACAAAAAGAACACAAAATTATGTTGCTTGAATGAAAATGGAAGCAACTGGAGATTATCATCTTAAGCAAATAAAGTCAGTCTCAGAGAGACAAATATTGCATGTTTCTCTCATGTATGAATCCTAGACATTATAAAGAATCATAGAATAGTCAGGTGGTGCACGCCTTTAAGCCCAGCACTCAGGAGGCAGAGGCAGGTGATCTCTGTGAGTTCGAGGCCAGCTTAGTCTACAAGAGCTAGTTCTAGGGCAGGCTCTAAAGCTACAGAGAAACCCTGTCTTGAAAAGCCAATAAATAAATAGATAAATAAATAAATGGTACATAAAATAACGTAGGCATATATGACATAAAGGTAGAAGTCAAACTAGGAGAATGAAGAGGACTAAATGGAGGATGAGGGGAGAGGAAGGGAAGAGGGGAATGACAAGAGAGGTAATATACACTTATATGAAAACGTCCTATATATCACAGTATATAATGACTCTGTGTCAATAAAAACACTCTGTATCATTAGAATGAAATACTTGAATGACTTTGCTACCTAGATGAAAAGCAGTTCATAAACACTAAAAACTATTTCTGTTACCACGTAAACACGTTAGAGACATAAGTGTCAGACAGAGCTGTATTCAGGAAATTCTTTAAGAATGGATGAGAAATCTTCACTCTCTATTCAGAGACCCCAGGAGTATGAATTATACCCCAAATAAATGTACTATGAAGGGACCAGGAACCAAGAATTAAAGACATCATTTCTTTACTAAAACCAATAACCATTCCCTTAAAAACCGCCTGAAAATAATAAATGCTACTTTTGTCATATTTTTTAAAAGGTAAACGTGGCTAAAATTTAAGTACAAAACCCTAAGAATTAATATTTCCTAATGAAAACATTTCAAATCTTAGACAAAAGTGAAGTGAGGTAAACTATATTTCATAGTTATTAATCACTATCAGTTAAAGCAATTCTGCGATAATATGCATTTGTAATTATGTAGTTTCCATGTAACTGTAATAAAATATTCTAAACTTGTAGGTATCCTGCAACATGCAAAATTACATAGCCATGGATTTATTCGACGTTTAATTTAACTACAGTATTTCTGGTAATTTAGACAGTAGCCTACATATGCAGCCAATCTGACTCATGGCCAATGACGCTAGATGGCTGATAAGAAAAGAACAGCTCTCAAACGTCAAAGCCGGGATTTAGAGCTAAGAAGGCAGAGGGTGAGGCCCCCTCATCTGCAGTAAAGTTGTTCAATAAAAATCATTTATGGTTCTTTATTCCTATTTTTAACTGACACTATTTTATATGTTTATGAAGTATAACCAGAGAATCCTGACACAACATGATAACCAAGTGAGGCAGCCTTCTCTCCCCCATCACTCCCACATGCTCGGAAGGTTTGTACGCTGCTGGGTCTGAACTGTCTCCAGAGCCGTGAGGGCTGTCTACCCAGAACCAGTCCCTCATATCCGCTTGAGCTCCTTCTGTAAGCTTCCCTCCCCACCCACTCTTCAATACGTCCTGTTCTGGAATGACCTCTTCTTTCCATCTGTACAAATGACTGCTAATAAATGGTATTTGCTGTTCAATGTATGGCTTGTTTAATATAAAGTCTTACGGTTCCATTCACTTAGGCAACAGTAGAATTTCATTTTTATGGTTTAATTACGTTTTCAAAAGCTAGCTGTCACTTGATGGACACATTGGCTATTGTGAACAATAGCTGTCATGGTCATTTCCTTTGGATGGCAATTAGAACAGACACACTGTCGTATGTTCCATCTCACAGCACTGTCTGATATCTCAGTGAGCCAAATAGGCAGAGACCACAGAAACAATTAATTAATTAATCAATTATAAAATGCTAATATGTTTGGTTCGCTAAGGTTTTTTATTGGTTTTTATATATGTGTCAGAGCCACAAAAATCAATGCCCTGCACTTTCTGTGAGTTCTGTTTCAAATTCTTTATGTTCTCCACCCCTCTGGGTTTCTGGATTCCTCAAATCAGATAGGTGCTGGGGTGTAAAGGTGTACCTAAGTGAAACAGCACTTAATTATAAAGTAACCAGCCATAAAAACATTAGTAAATAATTGGTAGCGTAGGAAGACGCTGCTTAGAGTTTTGGTGCTGTCGTGGAAAGGAACTGGGGTTAATAGGTCCTCCTAATTGCTGTTGACATCTCAAGTCAGAATCCTCTAAAACAAAACTTCTTTGATATGGCTTTGTGCACGCTCACATGCTCAAGGATTCGGGATTCTGTCTCAGCAAATGTCATCACGATGTCTGCATCATTCCAGGCTATGGCACTGTAAATCTGTACTATGTCTTACCTCTGCCAAGTCAATATGATATGAATATATCCCAAAGTAATCAAGAAGATGTCAAGCCCTATACTACAGCCAAACAGTGCACACAGCTCAGGATACACGTTAATAGCTAAAGACACACAAATAGAGGGTATGTGGCAAACAGTGATGGTCATTTTCCAACACAGGCCTCCCAAATTAAAGCACAAATAAACTCATTGCCGTTCACAGTGCTAAGATGAATGCCCCGTAGTTGTACATTGTCTAATGATAAAATCAAGTAAGGAAAGAGTAGGCTTTAGTTCGGGGTTAGGGTCCAAAGTCTAATAAGAGATGAATTACTATTCTTGCCATAAAGAAATTTAATGCAGTGTTTTGTTTTTGTTTTAGCAATCATGAAGGTGGCTGTGGTGAGCAAGTCTGCGATCCCAGCACTTGAGAAGGAAAGGGAGGAGCATGAGGACTTCAAGGTCAACCTAGTAAATTCAAAGCCAGTCTGCCTTACAGGGGATCCTTACACTTCTGGATACGCAGAATCAGTCAGTGACTTTTAAAGCCTTACTAAAATGCGAGCACTAAGTGCTGTAAGACAAGTTTGGGTCACCACTTTGTAAAGAAAGTCATTTTATTTCCTCCATTTTAGAAATTAAACGGTAAACTATCTCTCCCTAAGCCGGAGGGAACGGAAAACTGGGATGTGGCGATTACAAACGGATGCCAAGGAATGTTAGCCTAGAGCGTGTCCTGGACGAGGTGCTGACCATGCCACTGAAGGAACAAGGAACAAGTATCACCTGCAGAAGTGAGGGGCCAGGTCAGGAGACGAAGCGAACATGCTCCAGTTCCAGGCTCCCAAGCCCGCTGCCTCAGAGAGCTGGATGGGGACAGGGCAAGGAAGACTCCTCAGGGGGAAGTCAGTCACAAGTAAATTTCTATGTCAAATGCCCAGCGACATTCAAAGACAAAAGAAGAGGAGGTGAGATCCCCAAAGCAGAACCACAGTGGAGAGAACAGATGAGAACAGCCTGCCAGGGCTCCCTATACTGAATTTATCTGCTGTTCATCACAAACTGGGCTTTTATGGGCAAAAGGATTTAAAGACTACAAACATTTGAAAAGAAGTAAAGCATCAAAATAAAAAAAAAATAAAAGAAGCAGACATGAAAGGACAATCAGAAGTCATAATGGAAAAACATAAAATAACTGAAAACAAGTCTGAATTGAGCCAGGAGTAGTGGTATACACTTTTAATCCCAACACTTGGGAGGCAGAGGCAGGTGGATCTCTCTGAGTTTAAGGCCAGCCTGGTCTACAGAGTGAGTTCCAGATTGAACTACATAGTGAGACCCTGTCTTAGGGAAAAATAATTAATTAGATGTAGTGGACAATGAATTAGACACATCTGAAGAGATGTCTGAAGAAAAACTACAAACGTTTGTATAGGGAATGGAAAGGGAGAGCTAAAATCATACACGAGATATAAACTTGAGATCCTAATAGACATTTAAGAGGCGTTACGGAATCAAAGCATACTAGAGGCAGTATGAGCTGAGCACTGGCTCAGTGGAAGAACATCTGAACAGCGCACAAGGCTTGGGTTCAGGATCCAGCACTACAGGGGACAAAAGGAGAAGGAAAATGCCAGTACCCCAGTTCTCAGTCGTCAAACACCACCTCGCACATCCTCATCTGCACCAGAAGCAGTTAATCGGGTGTTTGCTCTGCCTCTGGAGTAAGACAGGCTGAGCAACAGAAAGAGAGATGTTTGTATTAATAGAAGTAATGAAATAATCTGATAAGGAGGAAGACAGCAGAGAGATGATGGCTTAAACAAGAGAGAAGCGGGGCCTATTATCTAAAGAAAACATACATCTAAACATCACATATCTGGAACAACCTTAAATGCAATTAGTGCAAAGAGTTTAAGAAAATATTTTTATTACATTCCTTCAGTTTAAAAAGTTTATAAATTATTCAACTGGATAATTGCTTCATAACCTTTATGCAAATGAAAGAGAATGAAATGGGTCCAATAAAGTTGAAATTAAACTTCCAAACATATGACTCTTGATGTTTGTGGTGCTGCGAGGAAACCAAAGTCTTTGCCTGTTCAGCAGCTCTCGACACCAAGGTACATCATCAGCCCTAACCAAATAATTGCCGACATCTTAAGTTTTACAATTTAGCATGCAAAATTATTTATTTTGAAACGTACAGCAGGCATCTAAACAGTCAACAGACATAGAAGAGATCAGAAGAACCATATATGCTTCAAATATTCGAGAATTAAAATAAGTAATCCAAAGATAAAAAAGAAATAAATAACCCCAAACCCTATAAACACCACTGTCTTAACCAGAACTTCCAAAACTACACACACACACGTATATTTCATTAAGTTTCTTGTGAAAAAGCACTAACTTCTCACTTGAGCCCACAAGGGGACTTTAAAGGGGCAAGGTGAAGCCTGGCATCTCTGTCATTGACTCTGGATCAGACTCCTGCTTGACTCTATACACCCAAAAGAGTCACAAGAGGTGTCTACCAACATATCACATCCCTATCCTCATCTCAACAAGGCTGAGGAACAGACACAATCAGCCGCAGTCCAAGCAGACCACATCCTCATGGGACAGACCCTCTCACACGGAAGGAATTGTCTCTGAGGGCAGGGGAGCAGCAGCAAGCCCGCTGTGGGAACCAGACTGATCTTTTCATGTGATGAAAAATAAAAGGATTCTTCGGGCCTCTGCAGAACCAGAACTAATACCAACTAGACCATACTCTAGCAACAACTGCTTGATTATGCATATGTGCACCCAAATTCTACTGAAACCCAAAGCTCATGTCAGTACCCAAAGACTCGATTAGGGGGCACTGGACCACTTTATTTGTTCTTCCCAACACATTAAAATCTCCATCCTCTACTTTTCAGCAAAGACCATCCCTTCATCTGGTGGACTGGGAGGATGGGCCACTGTTCCCACTCTATCACAGTCCAAGAAGGAAGATGTTGGCATGAGTGATTTATACACTTCAAAACACAAAAAATAAAGGGTCAAGACTCCATAAAATTAGAGTCAACTTCCCTCAGTCCTGACTACTATAAATACTGTTGAGAGTTCCAGTGGGTGTCAAACCAGCACAGGCAAGCGCATATGCCATGACCCAAGTTGGCAGGAACCATGTGGGCCTTTCTTTCTGCCTAAGCTATATTCCCTCCTGAAGAAGGTGGAGTCCCCCATACACCTCATCTTTTTCCTTTTTGTCCGTAGTATTTTCAAGTGTGAGGACTATAGCTAAGCAGCACAAGTCCTCCAGGCACCCAAAGACTACCTATCTTATGGATAGATTTTAATCACTGGCTGGAGGTTCTTATCACTCAAGTGTTTTGTTTTAAATATACTAATAACCAGCCTTCTTCCCCAAATTTAATTAAATAAGAATCTCTAAAAGTGGAAAACTATGTTCAAAAGAAAAACTAAAAGATTCTCACAAGCAAGTCATGCTTGGAAACCACTGGTCTCTCCAAGACACCAATGGAATTCTAGAGATTATAAAACATAATTGGCTTAAGGGCAACCTAATACGAAACCAGAAGAGGGCAGCAGGTAGCTATTCTGGAAAGCTAAATATGCAAATACATAAATAAACAACAGGTACTATGTGGGGTGTGTTCTCAGGGAAAGGCCCCAGATTCTCAAGGTTTCTCAGAGTCTGCCTAGCTCCGGTAAGAGTTAGATGCCATCAAGGAGCTGTAAAGAACCAGGCAGAGCTGGGCTAGCATGTGGAGTCAGCTGCAGCAACCACAGAGCTAGGAAGTATCAGGGAAGTTCTCAGTGGACCAGAGTCCCAGATTAGAGCCACTAAATTCCTGAACCTCAACCTTCAATAACAAGCCCAGCTGGACAGCGAAGGGGAGACTATGCAGAGCTAGTTTCTAAACTACAAGTGAAATAACATCAGGGAACAGTGTTTGATATCAGAGACATATCCAATATAGGGACAGGTCCTCATTTTAAAATAAAACTATGGAACTTCATGATCTTAACAATGGAAACATCTTAATATTCTAGAGCAGTGGTTCTCAACCTGTGGGTCTTGCCCCGTTTGGCAAACCTCTGTATCCAAAAGTATTTATGTAACAATTCATAACAGCAGCAAACTTACAGTTATAAAGTACCAACAAAAATAATTTAATGGTTGGGGGTGAGCCCAGCATGAGGAGCTGCTCTAAAGGGTGGCAGCGTCAGGAAGGTTGGGAAGCACTGCTCGAGAGATTGCTGGGTGTGTGGAGGCAGCTGTGACACAGGCACTCACCTACTACAACTGGTAGACATTGTGTCCCTTAGCACCACCTGTAAATCTGTCTATTGTCCCTGGGTTTCTTCTCAATTATTCCTGACTTCCTCGGTTACACACCTTATTCAAAGACAGATCCAAGATTGGTTCCCAGAATCCTCATCAGGTACCTTACAACCGTCTGTTGTCTGTAATTCCAGCTCCATGGGGATCCAACTTTGGTCTCCAAGGGCATCTGCACTCATGTGTACATGGTTATATATATACACACACGTACAATTAAAAATAAAAAATAAACCTTTAAAATATGACCCAGAGTTTTCTAATCTTTGTTATTGGATTACTTAGTACCCTGCAGGCATGAGCCACAATACTACAAAGATGTGATGTTCAACAGAGTCCATCAGTACAAGAACACTTGTACGAATCCATCCTGACAACCACAAAACAGCTCTCTGCACACAAAGTACTGTCGCTCTTTGTATGGCTTACAGTATCTAGTCCAAACACTATTACCATTCCTAACCATTCAACAAAACCAAACTGAACTGTCTAGGTGTAGCTTTTCATTTAGACTAGTGAACCCACTTAAACTTGTCCATTCTGAGGGGGCAGTGGTGGTGAGAGAGAAACAGAGAGAGAACAATTATAGAAGATATTCTGAAATATATTAGCTTTAAGATTGTTGAGCACATATATTTTTACTCCTCCTTCCCCCTAACCTTTCAGAGATGGGCCCCAAATTTTCCATCTTGTAATCTCAGCCATCCTGGTGCTAGCAGTAACAGCCACATGACATAACACCAGGCTGTACTTTCTCTGGCACTTTTTTCTGGAGCTGAGAACAGAAAGACACCCCCAACTTTAGCAGTCAGTTGCCAATCATTTGCAATCACAGATCTGGCCACCTCGAGCACAAATGCTAACCAGTCATCCAGTGAGCCTGACATTCTTTGTGTACTGCCATTGTTGGCTGTGTGTGCTCTGCTGGGCACAGGACCTGACTTGCCCAGCCTTGTATATGTCAAGCAAGCATTTGCTAAACCTTCCCCTGTGGAACATCAAGTGGCAAAATTGGGAATGATTTCAATATTTGATGCTAAATTCAAGGAATTCTTATGCCCAGAGATTCAAAGATAAGAAAAAGATTCTATTTTCTAGACTCTGAATACATCTCCAAATTCTTTAAGTACGAGGATCTGGAGGTAACTAGCAAACAAACAAACAAACAAACAAACAAACAAAAAAATGTTGCCCAGAGCCTCAAGGGAGAAAGAGCATCTCTGAAGACAGACTACTTTATGATAAACTCCAGTAAACATCAGGGCATGAAGGTTTTGTTTCTCTTTTTTCTGTTTTTCTGGTGTAAGAGTCTTTTTGGTAGCAGCCTATAAGACAAAACAAAATATAACAAAAAAAAATTTTTTTCTCACCAAATAAGGTTGCTCTCCAACTTACAAAGATTGATGTACTATTTCTAAGTATTACAATGGTGCATTCGGTAAAAATCATACCTCAAATTTGAATAGCAATACAGGGTAACGACAATAGGCAGCTGCCGTCAGCTGATCCTCAGGGGTAGATGATCCATACTCAACAGTGTGCTCTTGCTGTGGTACCCAGGAAGCTGGGCAAATTACATAGAGTTCTTACTTACAAAGAGTTTCTGAGGACAAAGCTACACCAAAAGATGAGCAGCAATGACATGGCGTTTTCTAAAGTACACCAGATCAAAGTAGCACAAAAACAAGGTAACGTGAAGGGAAAATTACCTCTCCCATTCATCTCCTTTCTGTATGAGTTCACACAGCTCAAACCAGATTCTCATCACATATAGGTTTCTACAGCCAAGGTGGCCACATGGAAACATTTACTTTAAACTTTGCAGCTTAAAGTACAGAGGCCTCAGTATGGTGTCAAGAATTTTAAGGACTTGACTGATTCTTTTCCAGGCACTGATTCAGATAAATTGTCCCTTAAAAAAACAACTGGACTAACGTAGGTTCTCAGGTGACCCACTTTCCCCTGACTATGGGAACAACCTTGCCAGGCCAGGTGTGCTCACTCCCACAATCCCAGCTCTGAGGTCAGGGTGGAGGACTGCTGAGAGCTTCAGGTCAGTTTAGGCTTCAACTATAAAGTAAGACCCTGTCCATCCATCCCCCAAAATAAAAGCAGAAAAGAAGCCAGGAAGAGGGAAGGAAAGAGGGAAAGAAAGGTCAGCGCGAGTGCAGTCAGCATGCCTGAAGGTCAAAAGCTGAGTCTACAGGCTAAGAACATAGTAGAGACATAGGCCAGCAGCATGAGCTCTGGAATTAGAAGGAAGGGTGGGAAGCCTGAGATCAATTCAAAGCATCATAAACAAAACAGAAATCATTTTAAGTCTTAAACTTTCAAACAAGGAGTCAATATTAACCACCTGCTTGTTTCTTAAGCAACAGATCCACCTTAGTAAATAACTCTAAAATATTGTTACTTGAGGCCTTTAATTGATCAGTTCTTATCATGAAATACATTCAGGAGCTAGTGAGATAGAGTGCCAAGACTGAAAAATCGAAGTTCAATCCACAACCTGAACAAATGTGACTCACATGGTGTAAGAGAACCACACCCCCAAACTGTCTTCTGACCATCACATGCACATATATGCTGTGGAACATCTTTGTACAATGTAAATATGCATTACTCTCATTGGTTAATAATGGTCTATAGCTGGGCAGGAGAGACTGGGCAGGAGAGCCAGACTAGAGAATTCTGGGAAGAAGGAGGAAGTCAGAGAGTCACCAGCCATACACAGAGGAAGCAGAGTGGTTAGAAAATGAGGTAACAAGCCATGAATCATGTGGTAGAACTTAGATGAGAAATATGGGTTAATTTAAGTTGTAAGAGTTAGCTAGTAACAAGCCTGAGTTATTGGCCAAGCATTTATAATTATTATTAAGCCTCTGTGTGGCTACTTGGAAGTGACTTGAGGGACAGAAATTTCCACCTACACATATGTTTACTCAAGAGCCCAAACAAATATTTTAAACAAGAAATACATTCAAAGAAACTACAGATATAATAATATATATACGTAAGCACATGGATGGAAAGAATGATAATTTACTGACACACTTTGGTGGTTTAAAAGAAAATAATCCCCAAAGGGAGTGATAATATTATAAGGTGTGGCCTTGTGTAGTAACTGTGGTCCTGTTGGAAAAGGTGTGTCACTGTGGAGGTGGACTTTGAGAGCTCACATATACCCAAGACACAGTCTCAGACCACTTTCTGCAAGTCAAGATGTAGGACTCTCAGCTACTTCTCCAGCACCATGCCTGCCTGCATGCCACCATGTTGCACTGTGACAGTAAACTAAACCTCTAAAACTGTAAGCCACACCAATTAAATGTTTTCCTTTATACGACTTGCTGTGGCCACTGTGTGTCTTCACAGCAATAGAAACCCTAACTAAGAAACATACTCTAGATTTTCTTGCTGGATACATATTGTTACTGAGCCCCCTATAGCCCTTCACTACGACTAAAACTGGCACCTCTATGGCAGGACCTCAACTTTTACTTCAGATGTGCAAGCAAATAGCTTTGTGATAACTCAGGAAGTTAGCACTGAGAAAATCCTGGGTCCCTCCAAGAAACTGGTGGGGTTTATTTTTAGCTTCACACAGATGGAAATTCGGAACCAAATTCAAGCTGTACACTTAAAATATGTATATTTTCCTTAAGACAAATTATAATCTAACTTAAAATAAAAATATTCAACTTGTTTTTTTTCCTCCAAGAATAGTTTACTACTTAAAACATCTAACAACCTCATATATAAAAACCCACTGTGGCTAAAGTTGTCCCACACCTGGTTCTGAGAGCCAAAGCTTGTGGTGGATGGGTCTGGCTTAGTTACTCCAGCGAGATGCAGGCCGCCTCACGCATCGCACACAAGCCACCAGCCTCCCAGACCGACAAGCAGACAACGCCAGCTCGCTCCAGACCGGCCTCACTACGCGGAGGGGTGGACCATCTACTCTGGCGCCTCCAGATGCTCACCCTTTTTCACGAGGCAAGTTAGACAACTCTGAAAACTCTTTCCTTTCCAGAAGGAAAAATGTGATTTAATTCTACAAATTTTCAGCCCACCCCAAAACAAACAACATAAAAAAAAAAAAAGGAAGAAAGAAGTTGCCCTGATTCATGTCTGCCTGTCACCAATCTAGCTGGCCAAGGTCAGTCAATCTGACTCAGAACTTGAGACTGAAGCCAGGGCCAGCAGCTGAAGCTCCCTGGTTGGTGGTGGTGAGGTGGAAGCCCGTCTCCTTCAGGTCGTCATCACCCAGCTGGCTGTAGCCCAGGCCGCCCTCAGGGGGCCGTGGACTGGTGCCTCTCTTCACCCTCTGCTGCTCACTCTTGGCGGGCCATGTGGGGAACATGGACGGGTCAATGGGGAGGGGGGTCTCTCGGAAATACTCGTGTTTCAGGCCGTCTTCTGCACTGATCCTCCTCCCAGGGTAGTAGGTCAGGAACTTGTTCATGAGATCAAAGCCCTGATCTGATAACAAAGCCCCAAATCGCTTGCGGAGGTTGTTATAGGGATACTCGCTGAAGGTCATCTTCTTGACTGCTGGGAGGTCATTATAGCCTGGCCAGATTTTCTCGCTGGGAGTTCCCAGGTCCTTGAAAACCTTGTTGATCTGGTCGATGTCTGACTTCCCAGGAAACAGAGGCTTCTGTGTCAGCAGCTCTCCAAAGATGCAGCCCACTGACCACATGTCCACAGCCGTAGAGTACTCCTTAGCACCGAGCAGCAGTTCTGGGGCGCGATACCACCGGGTGACGACCACTGGAGTGTAGGCCTTCAGGGGTGAGCCATACTCCCGAGCAAGCCCAAAGTCACCCACCTTGAGAATGCCAGCATGGCTCAGCAGAAGGTTGGAGGTCTTAAGGTCACGGTGCAGGATCCAGTTGTCGTGGAGGTATTTCACCCCACTCAGCAGTTGGATCATCAGGGTCTTCACCTCCCCTGGCAGGAAGGGCTGCTTCATAGTGTCCATTAGGCTCTTGAGGTCATGTTCAACATAGTTCATCACGATGTAGATCTTATCCATGTTGCTTCCCACAACGATTTCTCTGACAGTGACGATATTGGGGTGCTGGGCCTTGAGGATGGTGTTGATCTCCCTCAGCGAAGTGATTGGGAAGCCTTCCTTCTCCTTCTCCATCTTTAACCGCTTCAGAGCCACGATTTCATCTGTTTTCTTGTCCTTTGCTCTGTAGACTACTCCATAGGTGCCTTCTTCAATCCTGTTCAGGCACTGGAACTCCTCTACACTCCGGCAGCCCTGCAGGGCCGGCAGGTACTTGGGCAGCTCTTGTTTTAGTTCAATGGGCGACAGGGCTGGGGAGTCAGGCACATAGTCTCCTTCCGTTGGGGCGCTGCTCTGTGGGGTCCCCTTGCCCACTTCTTCTTCCCCTTCTTCACTGTCCCCAGAATCTCTGTCAAATCGTGACTCTGGAACAACCAAGATGTGGTTCTCACTTTCTCTGTCTTCGTCCTCACTCACTTCTTCTGCAGACTGCTCTGAGGCTTCCTCAGAGCTGCTCCCAGTCTCCTCTTCCTCCTCCTCGTCTTCCTCCTCTTCTTCCTCTGATTCTTCACTGGTGCTCCCTTCTTCCTCTTCTTCCTCCTCCTCTTCCTCCTCCCCTTCCTCAGAACCTGAGCCTGATTCTGCTGATGACGATTCGGCCGAGTTGGTTTTCCTTTCGCTGTCGCTGATGTCCTGCAGGTCTGACAGAAGGTCTCCTTCTTCCATATTCTCTTCTTTCACTGGCTTACGGTTGTCTCCCATCTCAAAGAGCTCTCGCGGTGGCCGCAGAGGGCTGCGGCTCCAGTGGCCAACCTTTTCCTTAGCACTGTAGTCCTCCCTCTCGGTGCGGTGGTGTGCAGGGACTTCCCTACGCGCTTCTCTCTCTTTGCGCCGCTCTTCTGCCCTCCGTTCCCGCTCCTTCTGTTCCCACTGTTCCTTCTGTTGCTCCCTCATCTTGTGCTCCCGCTCCCTCTTCCTTTCTAACTGTTCCAGGCGGTCCCTTTCTCTCCTGGAATGTTCTCTTGCCATTTCCCTCCTCTTCTGTCTTTCCCATTCCCTGCGAGCTTTATCCTGTTCTTCTCGATGGCGTTTCCGACGTTCATGTTCTCGTTCTTTCTCTTTCACTCTGGCGTGCTTTCCTCCCTCGGCTGAATGGCTACGATGTCTACGCTTCTCTTTTCTCTTCTCGTCTTTTCTGTGATGGGCTTTTTCTTTCCGAGACATTTGCTGGGGTGGTTTAATGGCCAGAGAATCATCTTCCTCTCCTCTGTCTTCCATAGAATCCTCTCTTCTGTACGGGGAGTTCCTGATAGTGATTTCCATTCGGTGATCCCTCAGCTCCCCCTCCTCAAGGGAATCTCTTTTGGAATCCCGGTCATCAGAATTTTTTAAGCGTTTTATCTCTGCTTTCTCCTCTTGTTCTTTCCTTCGTTTCTTTTCCTGGAGAATTTCATCTAATGTTTTCACTTTCCAAGAGTCTTTTTCATCACCCATTTGAGTTAAAACGCCCTGCGCCGCCGTCGCCGCCGTCGCCGCCGCTGCCGCCGATCCCGGACTCTGAGAAGAAACTGCGCCCGGCGCGAACTTTGTTACTTCCTCCTCGGGCGCCCGCTGATGACGTGAATGGACAAAACTATTCAACTTGTAAATGACTTAATCTTCCTATCTTAACTCTACTACTGCTTTATCACCCAATCGTTTTTAACTTGATATTTTTTTTCAACTGAGATACTGAAGAAAACAACAACAATAACAAAAAAAAAAAAAAAACAGAAAAAGCCTTACAATATGCTTACTGATTAAAGATGCTCTTGATGTGATGGCCTCTCTAACTAAGTGGCTTTCAATGAGGGGTTGGCATGTGTATTTGCAAAAGAATCCCAAGTGATTGAATCTATCTCAGTCAACTACGGCCAGAGCTCCAGGCAAGTCAGCCTCATAACAGGTTAGAGACTTGTGTGCTATTAATGTAGTTAATACACCAGAAGTAATAGTTTGGTGACAAAGCCTTCTAGCCTAGTTCTAATAGATTAACTAAACAGCTCCATTCTCATCCATCTAGTTCAGTGCTGCATCTGATCATACCTGGTCTTAGACTTATTCATACAAGACTTCACTAGGCAATTACTAAAAGTCAAATCTAAAGTTCCCTTTCATGCACATTCTTATCAATGTGTATAATATATGTAGCTCTGAACATTTGAAACACAGGCTTTAATTTTAAAAAAAAGCAACAGTAAAATATTGGTTCTAGACACTGAACCTGTATCTTGTAGCTACAAGGAACCTACCGCTGAACTACACCACCATCCATGAACTTGGTTTTTAAAGATCCTCAGAGGCTAGGGACATAAGGTACTGGCTCAGCATTTACAGAGTCCTTGGTATGAGCTCTAGCTATATAGAAAAAGATAAAGAGCCTCAGACGTCAAAATAAAAGCAGTCTTCTTTTTCAGGTTTTTAATTCATGTTACTGTAATAACAGATACATGGTTGAAATTTTTCTGAAGTCTGATGTACTAATAACAATGCTTCTTCCCTAATACAACAGTCCAATATTATTACAAGGGCAAATTTAAGACTGTTTAAGGGTCTTCTGTCAAGTCCAGAGGTCACAAAAATCAATGGTCAGTTAGACAGAGGTACCAGGGACCATGTTTAAAGAGATGTGAATTCAAATGTAACTCACTGGTTCCTTAAATCCCAAGTAGTCTTCTGAAACTATCTGCTATATCGACTGTTCTTGTGAAAGCTGAATGAGACTTTGTCATGTAAGGCTCAATGCGGCTAAACATGTAATAAGCACGTCTGTCTTCACTACATGACAGTGCACATTACCAAGTAACGTGAATGTATTTCATGATCCTTACTTCCTCCGTCTTTCCAAGAGTACAGGCGAGGACAGCAGTCCACACGTCTATATCCCACCACATCTCTCACACAGAACACTGAGTGCCTCCACTTTCATTCCTTTGGTCATACCGTAATCCTCTCTATCTTAATTTTGTTTGTCAAATTCCTACCCACTCTTAAAATCCTTACTCGAATTCCACATTCCTTCAAGAGCATTTCAAACACCCCTCTTCTCCGATGCCTGCTCCTTACGGTGGTACTCCAAGGGGAAGCACACCACAGCCTCACAAGGGTATTTTAAGGAGCTATAAAAGATAGTAAGCACTGGCTTTGTAGAAAACAGAATGCAGCAGCTTGGATACCAGAAATACATCAAAGAAATAATCTTTAGCTGGAAGCTAAACTTATAATGAAAAGTCAGGCATAGACAACACTGTCCAGTAAACATCTGAATTAACGAAGATAAGACAAAGATGTGGCTCTAGGCCCACCTGGGCTACATTAGACCCTATCTCAAAGAAAAAGACTTGGGAGGTTAAAAATATTCTCTCTCATGATTTATGATTATAAGGATTCAGAAACAGATCATTTGTTCTTGTTGCTGTGAAGGCTCATGATAGCCTTTGCTGTCTTTGCCCAAATATCTCTACTACCATTTTAAAAAGTTAGCGGGGGCTGTAGCTCAATGATAGAGACTTACTTGACATATATGCTGGTTCCCCAGTATCAGCCAGAGAATTAACTTTCAGCTGGGTGCAGTGCCTCCTATCTGTAATCCTAGTACCAGCGAGGCTCAGGCAGAAGGCTCATTAACTGGAGGGCAGCCTAGTCTACACAACAAGTTCCAAGGCAGTCAGAGAGTCATACCCTGAGATCTGTCCCATCAGCAAAATGAGACAAGTTTTCACTATTCATCAGAGATTATTAATATACAGGATATATCAAGAACTCAAGAAGTCTAACAACAAAAACACCAAGAAATCCAATCAGATACATGATCAAATGACCTCAAAAGTATAAGCAGTTGATAAATGTATGAAGTCAAATGCCAAACAACTTCAAACATCAGGGAAATGCAAATGAAAACTGTACTGAGGTATTATCTCCTCCAGTTAGAAGGGGTATCAATAATTTTTCATTCTAAAGTTTTACTGCCTTAATTTGTGTGTGTGTGTGTGTGTAAGTATTTGTGCATAGGTGTGTGTGCGCGTGTGCACATTGTGTGTGCCACACGATGCATGTGGAGGCCTGCATAACAACTTGCAAGAGCTAGTTATCTCTTTCAGCATGTGGGTCCTAGGGATTGAAATCAGATCAGCAGGCTTGGAGGCAGGTGCTTTTACCCACTGAGCCATCTCAATGGCCCTATGAATACCAAGAAAACAAAGTATGTAGCCAGGCAGTGGTGGCATATGCCTTTAATCCTGGTACTTGGGAGGAAGAGACAGGTGGATCTCTGAGTTTGAGACCAACCTGGTCTACAGAGCAAGTTCCAGGGCAATCAGGGTTACACAGAGAAACCCTGTCTATAGAAAAACCAAAAGACAAACAAAAACAAAAAAAAGGTAAAATAGGAGAGAAAACATCAACCAGAAAATAACAATGCTAGCAAGATTGAATAAATACAAGTAGCTTACACACTGTTGATGGTAATATAAATTATAAATTAATATAGCCACATTTGAACAGCAGTCTCTACTCCTGGGAATTATATACAGAAGGAACGATAACATTAGCAGAGATGCTGTATAATGTACTTAATGTAATACTGTTCACAATAGGAATCAACCTACATAATCACCAATGGACAAGTGGACAAAGAATATATGATGTACATATAGCCAATGGACTATTACGCGGCAGAAAGAATGCAATTTTATCATCTGCATATAAAGTTGTAATGTATGGAATGAAAATATATAACACTAGAAGACCTCATATTGAACAAAATAAGTAGAGGGAAAAAAGTTCATGAGTCTACAATGTCCATATGCTATAGATGGACACAGGGGGCTCAGAAGTTCACATGTCTATAATGTCTGTCTGTACTCTAGAGATGGACACAGGAGGATAAGAAGTCACATGTCTATAACGTCAGTTCTCTAGAGATGGATACAGGAGGATCAGAAGTTCACGTGTCTATAATGTCAGTACTCTAGAGATGGACGCAGGAGGATCACAAGTTCAAGAACATTCTTGGCACATAATTCGTTTGAAGCCAGCTCATGATACACAGTGAATTCTAGGTCACTCTCGACTATATAGCAAAATCCTCTTTAAAATAAATAGATGCAAAGCTCAGAATGAGACATTCAAATTAAAAGTATTCAGCAATTTGTTTATAAGTAAATAAATAGCACAGTTCCTCACTAAGCATGAAGTTATGTCTTTCTCTGAATCTTCACCATCTTCTCATTATGGGAATCTACTCTAAAATTAGCATGCTTTTTTTCAAACTTTATTATTTGTAGTCCTTTAGTAAGCCTTTAATTGTACATTTTACCATTTAGTTTTAGAGCTTAAAGACCAACAATATATTTAAAAGGGACGAGACTTCCTGGATGCCATTATTGATATGTAAGTTGGTTAAGACACAAACTTAGGGGTAGAAGAATCAAAGGGGTAGAGCCCAGAAGTTTAGTAACTAATATGCAAATAGAGCAGAGTCAGAGATGACCTGAGTTTTCAAGCCTGACAGCTGAGAATATTTGCCTTTGGGGGGTGTGGGGTGCAGTGCTGGGTCCAAAACCAAAGCACGCGCGCGCGCGCGCGCACACACACACACAGCCACCCTCCAGCAAAATAGACAGATACATTAAGAAAACACTAACTAAAGGAGAACTCGGGCAGGATGCTAATTTGGAGGGTGGAGGGCAGATTAACAGTCTTCTTGTTTTTAAATAAACGATGACACTAACTTTACCTTATAAAGAAAGGCTTATTTATTCTTAGGGTGGCAAGGGGACAAAGGTTGTTAGTCACTGCCTCACCTAACATCAGGGAAGTCTCATTTTCCACCCAGCACATGGATTCTTTTTCAGTGGTCACAAGCAGTTAAATGGTATCAAAGAAAAGCACAATCTCTCTCAAAGTTGATTTTTTTTTCTTAAAATAAAAAAAAATCATTATCTCTAAAATAATTTCTTAGGATAGGATTCTAAAACTGCTTATACCACCTTTTATGTCCTTCAGTATTACTTCAGCCCTTTTTTATCTGAACCAAACAGAACAGGATAAGACCCTATTTAAATTGTGCACTGTAAATTACAGCCTAAGTGAATTCCACTCATTACCTAAAATGTAAAGGGACTGATGTTTGCGTCCACAGAGAATTTAGCACAGATAAGAGTTGGCTGGGACAGTGTTGCTGGCAGTGTCCACCATGCCTGCCAACCTCGTTCTCTAACACTGAAATCTGTCCACCCTAGGGTTCCTGTCAACAAGCGCCAGTCACAAAAGGACACATTAGCAGAATTCATCTTCCATGTCCCTTACAGTCTAGGTTTGCAAACATTTACATTACAAAGAGAAAATGTTTCAATAGTACTCAACATTCAAATACAGAGGGGAAAAAAGACCCAGATGCAAAACTGTTTATCAACTATTTAAACCTCTAAGTAGGCCTTAAGTTTCTGCCCATAAAATTTCCCTCTCAAATTCTTCTCACTAATTTTGATTCATTTCATTTTAAAGAGACTGATTTGGAGGAAAATGTT